GTTCTGCTGTGCATGGGGTCGCTATGAGTCGGTTCCGACTTGATGGCACCTGACAACAACAACAACAAAATATGTATATTTCCACAACATAGTTGGGAGTCTGGAAATTTGATTTGTCCCTCAGATTATGGATATTGGGTTCACCCAATTATACAAGGTACTTTTAAAATGGGATCATATTACCTCATGTACTCCAAATATTTTTTAAGAGATAACCTAGAATTTAAAGTCAAGCACAAAATATTATTAAGATGTGAAATATAAGCAAATGTCATTTCCTTTCTGTGAGATAGGTTGGACACCACTCCATGAAGCTAGTGCAGGAGGATTTTATCGGATAGCAAGTGAACTGTTGAAAGGTGGAGCAGATGCAGATATCAAGGGAAGGTACCAGATCACCCCCCTCCATGATGCTGTGATGAATGGACATTATAAGGTACTGTGATGCTTTTGTGTACAGATAAAACACCATGTGTTACAAGTGTTAAAAATCTCTGGGACCAAGCAATTTAAAAACTCACAGGAATTCAATTTCCATTAATTTTACTAATAAACACTTAGAATTTATAATAAATTTTACTGTATAATGGGCTTGTTGTTGTTGTCAAGTGTTGTTGAGTCGGTTCCAATTCATAGCATCCTTATATAAGGTTTCCAAGGAGCAACTGGTGGATTTGAACAGCTGACCTTGTGGTTCAAACTGACCTTTCGGTACAGTGCTTATCTTTCAGCACTGCACCAGGACTCCTTATAATGGGTTTGGTATGCCTAATACGATAGATGTCATTTTGCATATCACTTTTTTTTTCCATATCACTTTTAACAACTAGTTTTGGTTGTACATTGTTGTTAAGCGCCATCGAGTTGGTGCTGACTCATAACGACCCATATATAGGGTTTCCGAGGAGCGACTGTTGAGCTTGAACCACAGACCTTGCAGTTCAAACTGACCGTGCAGTCCAGCGCATTAACCTACAGTACCACACCCAGGACTATGTGGTTGCACGTAGTAGTTTTTAAACTTGTATCTCTTTATTGGTATTTTATAGATTTCCATATGGTGCTTTATAGATTTAGAACTACCTTTCCTTCTTAGGGTGTTACAGAATGCAATGATGTCTGGTCCTTATGGAAGATTTGCAGTGTTACGGAATGTGATATCTCTTTCAGCATCAGCAAGACCCTGAAAGAAACGAGAACCTCCCATGGTTAATGGCCAGCTAGTTAGTACACATCAGCACAGTTGTATTGTTAAGATAGCAAACTACTGTAATTCTAGTCCACTTAATTAACATTGTTGTTAGTTGCCATCGAGTCAGTTCCAACTCATAATGAAACGCTGCCCTGTCTGTGCCATCCTCACAATTGTTGTAATGTTTGAGCCCATTATTGCTAGCACTGTCAATCCATCTTGTTGGAGGAGCTGATTAATAGTGGTGGTGGTGTGCCATGGAGTCAGTTACGACTCATAGCGACCCTGTATTAATAGTAGCTGCAGTAAATAATATGAATTCTAGCACTTAAGTTTACCTCAGAAAGCATTTACATTCTGTGCTTCCTATACTGTTTTCTGGCCCAGGAACTTCATGCAGGGCTGAGGTACTTGCTGAAGATATCTTGTATATTTCAGGTATTGGAAGTCAACTTCAAGTTCAAAACTCCTAGGGTGGAAAGGGAGGTTAATCAGCTATGCTCAGAAAAATCTGCTTAGATACTTGTAAAAAAAATTTTTTTTTAATTAAAAAAAGCCAAACACAGGTAGAGGTGGGAAAGAATGCCAGAAGCAATAAATATTATAGGGCATATTGCTTCTTAGGTGGTAACAGTATTTAGGAGAATTTAGGGAGTTTTATATTTTTAAATAATATATCACAGAATTCTCTCCTTCCATATCTCTATGCAAATGTACAGGGATGACTGTCCACTACAAGGAAGTTTTGTCTTCATTTCTGAAAGATGGTTTGCTGCAGATGAGGAGTTCAGATATTGATGATAGCATCCCACTGCATTCTGCTTTCTGTTTCCTCTGATGAGAAATCAGCTATTAATCTTACTGGAGTTCCTGTTGAGATGTCATTTTTCTCTTAACTTTTTTCAAGATTTTCTTAGTCTTTGGCTTTCAACTTTTTGCCTGTGATATGTCTGAATGACTATTCCTTTGTGTTTTTCCTATTTGGAGTTTGTTGAGCTTCTTGGACGGGTAGTTACTATTTTCCATCAAATTTGGGAAGTGTAATATATTATTTCTTCCAATTTTTTTTCTCCCTCCTTTTCTTTTTCCTCTCCTAGAACTTTATTTATGGATAAACTGGCATGCTTAATGATGTCCTGCATTTCTCTCAAATTCTGTTCATTTTTCTTTATTTTTTGCTATCTCTATAAAAACCACATAATCATTGTAGCTCAATCTCCCAAGTTCTGAAGCAAAAAGGTCATTACCTTTTGCTGTTGGATGTGATATGTCTTGAAGACTGAGCACTTGATGTTCTTCTCCAGGGACTGGTACCTCCTGATAACATGTCCAAAGTATGAGAGATGAAGTCTGGCCATCCTGGCTTCTACAGAGTTTTCTGACTATATTTCTTCTAACACAGATTTGTTTGTTCTTTTGGCAGCCCATGGTACTTTTAATATTCTTCTCCAGCACCATAACTCAAATGTATGTGAGGCAAAGTCTTTCCAACCTCACTTCCAAGGAGGAGGTTTGGTGTTAGGAGCTGTCGAGTCAGTCCTGACTCATAGTGACCCTATGCACAACAGAACGACAAACTGCTCCGTCCTATGCCATCCTTACAATTGTTGCCATGCTTGAGCCCATCACTACTGCCACTGTGTCAGTCCACCTTGTTGAGGTCTTCCCTTTTTTTGCCGTCCCTCCACTTTACCAAGCATGATATCTTTCTCCAGGGACTGGTCCCTTCTGATAACATGTCCAAAGTATGAGAGATGAAGTCTGGCCATCCTGGCTTCTACAGAGTTTTCTGACTATATTTCTTCTAACACAGATTTGTTTGTTCTTTTGGCAGCCCATGGTACTTTTAATATTCTTCTCCAGCACCATAACTCAAATGTATCAATTATTCTACAATCTTCCTTAGTCATTGTGTAGCTTTCACATGCACAAGAAAATCCCATGGCTTGAGTCGTGTGCAACTAAGTCTTAAATGCTTTGCTGCTTCAATGAGTGTTGATAGTGGATCCATATACCATGATAGTATTTATTGATCCAGTGGTGAAGATTTTTGTTTTCTTTACATTGAGATGCAACCCGTCCTGAAGACTGGTCTTTGATCTTCATCAGTAAGTATTTTAATTTCTCTTTACTTTCAGCAAGCAAGGTTGCATCATCTGCATATCGTATGGTGTTAATGAACTTCCTACAAACCTGATACCTTATTCTTATTCATATAACCCAGTTTCTCAGACTATTTTCTCAGTATACAGATTGAATAAGTGTGGTGAAAGGATACAACCCTCAATCACACCTTTCCTGATTGTAAACCATTCATTGTCCCCTTGTTCTAGTCAAGCAGCTGCCTCTTGGATTATGTACAAGTTCCTCATGAACACAACTAAGTGTTTTGAAATACCCATTCTTTGCGATGTTATTCATAGCTTAACATGTTCCACAAAGTCAAGCCTTTGCATAGTCGATAAAGCACAGCTAAATATTTTTCTGGTATTCACTGCTTTTAACCAAGATCCACCTGATGTCAGCAATGATATCCTTTGTTCCACATTCTTCTCTGAATCTGGCATGAACCTCAGGCAATTCCCTGTCAATGTATTCTTGCAACCAATTTTGAATTATCTTTAGCAAGAGTTTACTTACATATGATATTAATGATATTGTCCAATGATTTTGGCATTCCATTGGATCACCTCTCTTTGGAATGGGTACAAATATAGATATTTTCCAATCATTTGGCCAAATCTATCTTCCCGAATCTTTGCATAGTGCCTCCAGTGCTGCATCAGTTTGTTAAAAGATTTCAATTTGTATTCCATCCTATCATGGAGCCATGTTCTTTGCCAGTGCCTTCAGTGTACCTTGGACTTTGACCTTCAGTACCATTGGCTTTTGATCATATGCTACCTCTTGAAATGGTTGAACATTGACTATTTCTTTTTGGTACAGTGACTCTGTGTATTCCTTCGATCTTCAATCTTCTGCTGATGTTTTCTGCATCATTCAATATTTTGCCTATATAATTCTTCAATATTGCAAGTCGAGGCTTGAGTTTTTCCTTCAGTCTTTCAGCTTGAGATATGCTGAGTGTTTTCTTTCTTTTGCTTTTCTAACCAAGCATTGCCAATGAAGGCTCAGGAATAAGTGAGAACACAGTAAGGAAAGGCTGTGTCATCTCAGAGAACAAATATATCATCACACATAAACAGGATGTCAGTAGTGATGTAAATGTTAAAGATATTGCTTTATAATATAAATGTTAAAGAAATGAGGAGCATGTGTTGGAAGTTATATGAAAGAATATTCTTGTTGTATAGTAGCAGAAATCCTGCTGAATTATGCTGTATAGTTAGTTGTATGGAAGGCAGAATTTGTAAACAATGAACTTGGGTATTTAGTCAAAGATATTTCCCTGCAAAATTTGAAGAAGGTGCAACCTGGTTTGTCCTGCTGCTTATACTTAAATGTGAAGAGAAAGAAAGAAAGAAATTGAGGGAAGAATTTTAAACAACAATAGACTAGCCCGTGATTATTTGGGAAATTCACAGCCTATCCAAATTAGAAAAGATCCTAAAATTAAGAGATTTACCCTTTTCTCTTTTTTTCTTTAATACTTTTATTGTGAATTGAGTGAAAGTTTACAGGGGGGAACATGAGTTTTACACTCATCATTTCATTGCAATAATTACAATCTCCTCTGTGCATCATCATTCAACAGTATTTGCTTCTATTGCTCTGTTGGTTTTTTGTTGTTGTT